AAAAATATGAACTATCAAACATGTTTTGAGTTCATTTCAAGCTTAGTCCAACATGCTCAAACCTCGTGAATACTCAGTAGTAGCGAGCGGATTTTTAACTGCTTGTGATGGTGAATGCAGGCTGTGCAACATGGACATCATCTCGCAAGTACAGCAAGTTATTTGCTTTGCATTTCATGATAGTAGATTGCTCATGGAAACTTGTCAAGAAGCGAAGAATATGAGGAAGATTGTTACTCTCTTTTATCTGGATTAATTGAAGTCAATAGCGCTATTAATTTATCCATATGTTGTTCAACAAGTGTAATCCGTGTCTTGCTTGTAGAAATACACAGGTTTGACGGTTTTTGACTACCCGAAAAACAAAAATAGCAAAAACGGCGCACATTCATACCTTGTTTATCAGAGGGATGGTCTTTCTCATTGTTGATCATATCTCTAGCTATAGTATCTTTCAGATATAAAATAATTTGCAATATATACCCTATTCCATTATGTCCTTTAATGTTTAATGCGTATATGTGCAAATAATTCGAATGGAACACGAGTTTTAATTAATGTTTCTATTCTTATATACGTGAATAGAATGCTGAAAGCGCTTGAAAGGCACTTTTGTTGAGTTAAAAGATAGAAGAATTTGAATTCAAGTGGTGAATGGTAGTAGATTGAAGTAAAACTTTTGATGGGTTCCTGGTGGCAAACCTCTCCTATGTTCTGGTCTAGCATTGTCCCATTAAGATAATCTTCTCTATTACTTTTCTTCCATTCTGGTAAGTAATACTGAATAGCTCTAATCTATGTAATAAACAAAATTTCAAGTTCAAGGTTTGCTTGTGTGATGTGTGTGCAGGTTCATTTTCAAATATACGTTGTATTGCATGTGAGAGTTATGGCAGCAGATCTACACTTTCGAGTACCAAAATAAAATTGACATGTGCAATAAGCAGTGTTCTAAAAAGGCCAAAATGATTTGTCTTGAGCATAACAGCGAATTAAGCAGTTGACTAATAGTTGACCGTTTAGTGCATGACTAGGAGCATCTAAGTGTGCGCTTTAATATTTATTTATTTATTTATTATTTTTTATATTTTCCCATTTCCTAAAAATTTTTGACTTTAGGCTGTTAATTCTTTTTATTTTTCCCTTTTAAAGGATTTTTTTTATTTGACTTAAGTTTCAAGTTTTTAAATGATATTATTTGTATAAAGGTAAAAAATTACTTTACCCTATAAAAAATTAGAGAAGATTTAATTGATGATGCTATACATATTATGTAATTATGTTTTTGAAACTTATCGTGTTGTTGTAAATTTCAAACGTATATATGTAGTTCTTATGAGTCTGTCAAGTAAGACTTATCTGGTTGAATTATGAAAAATAGTCCAATTTTTGTATTTCAAAAATTTAAAAATTGTATAATTGACTAATTGTAAAATGGGTTGTAGGGCGTGGACACCTCTATGTATATAAATTATTTACACCAAAATTTATCCTTGTAATATTATTAAGTAAATATAGTCTTTTTTAATTTTAGATGTTTGATATGTATTATTTTAATTATTAAACGATTTTTATAATGCTTAAATATTTAAAATAATAATAAAAATGAGTAACGATTTTTTACATCTAGATCTCGTCTAGGCTTGTCTAGACTCATAAAACTTGAAGGTTGTCCTTCATGTCTAGTCACGCTGTACGTTTTTTAGAATATTGGCATAAAAAGTCGATCAAAATGAAATATTGTCGTAAGATTAATCATGTAAAAGCAATTGACGTGAAACAAAAGAGTACGATGGGCACTTGGGACTAGAAATAAGTTTTAAGTTCTTGCAAGAAAAATGTAAAAAGAAAACAAGGAGAGAATATTTTAAATTCAAGAATTTTAGAAAGTCACGTAACTCGGACACTTTCACAAACTTTTTAAGTCACATACCAACATACCATACTGAATCAATGTGCTTCAACAATTACAAAGAAAGAAAGTAATATTTCATCCCCTCAGCAGGAGATACAAAGAGTCGTTCGTTAACCAAAATAAATACTACTGTACACAATTTGATAGGTAAGTACTGTCACCACGAAACTGAACAATATATTATACACAAGTATGTTAATCTTTTCAAATTTCAAACAAATATTGCAAAACAGTTATAATGTGGCATCTGGATGCAAGTTGCAGGGTCATCATCAAGCAGGTAATGGTTCCTCCATAACTGCACAAATATGGAAAATAAAATGTCAAAATTTAGGCAAAATTAATCAATCTCTTTGATTCTTTCAAGGATCTTATGTGAGGGAGAGAGAGACCTTTTCTCGGTGCAGAATCTGCCACTGCTTCAGGAATGGCTGGTGCATGGGTTGGAACATCAGGAAGGTCCAACTTCTCTTCTTGTACTTCAGTAGCTGGTGCTGCAAAAGGAACTTTTGGCAGATCTTGAAGGGTCATCTGTACAAAACCATAACGTTCCTTAATAAATGATTTGTGTTTATGCGATTAACTGATCATGACCCTGTTTTCATACAAAAGACAAAATCCCAGCTACCATGCCATAACCGAGAGAGAGAGAGAGAGAGTGCCCATAAGACCGTTTGAATCATTATTTTTACATCCCCCCGTCTCCAATTGTTTGTGGCAGACTTATCTTTGCCGATTAGACCATCTATGAAATGTTTGTTGTTTCCAAAAAAACGAGAAGAAAAAAAACTTAGAATACAAGGCCTAATCCTCAACAATGGAAGCCCAAAAAAGGTTTTGACTGAAATAAAGAAACATCTTGCTTAAGTAACAACTGAACATAATTCCTACTCGTGGTTGCTGAACCAAGTATTCGAATCCCACACGAGTCATAATAAAGAAGTCTAATGAATAACAATAACAAGATTGGAGATTAAATAAGTTTCGGAAGCATATGGTAACTGTATATGGTAACTGTACATTATGATTAGAAAGAAATAATTATTTTTCTTTTACTTATCACCCACCATCAAACCTCATTTGTGACCCTCAGTGTAGGATTACAACCATGTTATGCAAGAATGTTTAAACAATGTAGCCTAAACAGATCTGGAGGTGCCACATATATCTTTGTTTTGCATGACTGCGGGCTTTGCCAGATAGACACATTAGGCATTGCCTGGTAGTCAAATGGAAACCATCCAACACTAAATTTCTACCAATATAACCATAAGCTGTTCATAGATAAGTGCATTGAAAACCCAGCAGAATATGGAATTAGAAGCACATCAATCGATCTCATAACAGGAAAAATAGAAGCTTTAGTGTCAATTGTTTGCATAAAAGGACGGACCTCAGTCTCGAGATTTTCAAA